ATGCACGCTCGATACAACAGCTCCATAAGATGGGCGTTCCTTTTGTACTGACGTGCTATGCGGACTCGGTTGTTTTGGCTTGTTACTGTTTCCGAAATCACTAGAGGCAAATGTTATGAAATTTTGAAAAATTCCAGGCGTGCGTGTGGTAGTTGTATAACGGTCTTCGTGTTCGTTAATGTAAATGACAGTCGGTGGTTTAGTACGTCGAGTTTGTACAACATTCAACGATGCAGCGGGTGTATTTGGGTAAAAAGGGTGTGGCGGTATTGTGCTCGAGCGGTACGTGCCCACATAACTGGGTGAATATCTGTCAAAGCCGAAGGGTTTGTACGATGTATAGTAGTTTGTGTAAGAATTCGTGGAGGCAGTTATGGGCAGTGCTGAGGATGATTGTTTGTTCGTTTGTCGGATGTTTATTTCAATTTCGTATTGGTCTGCGCTGGGTCCATTTACTACCACCTTCTGTGGGCGCGTGTAAAATGTCGGTTGCGTTTGATATTGTCTGAGTTCAAATTGTCGCGAAGTCGGGCGTGTGTTCAGATTTGCTAATGGTGTAACTGTAGTTGATTTCTTCAAGCTTGCACTCTTAGTTGGCTTTGCGTGAAATCTGCTTTTGGTCTCATTATGCCAGTTCGGTACTTTAACGACAATTAACTTTCTGTTAGCATCAGGTCCACGTCGCTCTAAACGTTTCGGTTCTTCGTTTAATTCTAGTTCTGTAAATTGGTTAATATTTGTTGTAGATTGTCGGTTTTCAATTGTGTTGAAGTTTCTGTTCGAAGAAAGTGACTTAGCCTCTAAACATTCGTCAGTTTGATTTGGTTTTGTGAGTGTTTCCGTCTGGTTTGTGCGGGAAATAGTCTCTTCTTTGGTTTTCAGTTCTTGGTCTAAGATTTTGAAAAGTAGCGTTGCTTCAAAAGTAGTTCTTTTGTTGTCGTTAAGTGTCAAATTGTCGTCTGCATGATTTCCGTGTGTATCTGTTGTTAGGTCCATATAAGTAATTTCCGCAGTATCTTGAGTATCGTTGCTGTCTGTTGGTCCCTGTTTTATCAGTGTTATATTCGAACGTGTTGTTTCTTCATTAGTTGTAGAATTTGTAATAACGTCTTTCGAATTTGAATCCGAATTCAATTCACTAATTTTGTTATCTATTTTGGAAGTCAAGTCTCCGTCGAATCGGGTAAGGTCTCTTTCGGAATTCGCATACGTAGTAGTCCCCTCCGTATAAGTTGCTAAAATAGCGTCTTGTTCGTCCGCTTCAAACTTTGATTGTCGTTTTAAGTCGGTTTCTTTAGAGTCTTCTTTGGTAGAATTATTTATAGTTCCAGTCTGCTCTAAAGCAGTCGATATCGTCGGTATGTTTGCCGTTAGATTTTCGTTCGGTTGTTCATCCAAGTGCTTCTCCTCTTGCTCAGTCGATGGTAAATCGTTTAGTTGTAGTAGTCCAACTTCTTGGTCCGTGTCGTCTATTCGTGCTTCGATTTTGTCCACAGTCATGCTTTCAGTGGTACTCAGAGCGTTTGCAATGGAAATGCCTTTTGACTTAGTCTCAATGATGTTAGGTCCAGTCT